ATCACCCCGCTTCAATGTAAATAGGCTGATTACGATACGCCTTTGTTATTGAGTTTTTTAATTGACACCGTAGCTTGTTTAAATGCTCAGGATTTACGATGTTAAATTGTTCAGTATATATATATTTTTTTAATAAAACGTGTGACGAAATGCGCGTGTTCCTTTTTAATTAAGAATAATTATAAAAAGAGTGAATAGTAAAAAAAAACACCATCACCAAGCTGGAACAAACAAACGGATTACATATTTTATAACATTAGTGTAGATACTTACTTAAAGATCACAAAAACGTAAATCTCGTTCTAATCTTTTCTGTTTCATCAATCAGTATATTCCAGGGAATGGTGAAGGGGGATTTTGAAACTTCTCGAATTACCCATTAAGTAAAATGCCAAAGAACATAAATCATTCGGCTACAAAAAGCTACCTTTCTTTTAAGCATCAGCTTACGGTCAATGAAAGCTTAGACGAAGTTTAATTTGCTAGCGGTGGAATCGCCTTTCACTTTACTTGATATATATTTATGTCCATATTGATTTATCGTTGTACTTGAAAAAACGCATTTTATGTTTTTTCACCGTTTTCGCTTCGGATCTGTCGTCTTTTGTTTTCGATTTTTTTGAATTACATTTTAAAAGTAAATTATTATTTCATGCATAAAATATTATTGGCAAGAAAGCTATACAATGAAACAAAAAAAAACTTTCAATAACAATCGTTACTAACTGAACATGGTTTAGAAGAGTTCCCGATTAAGAGATATATGTATCTATTTATTATAGATTCTGTCGTGAAGTTTTTCAAATCCCAAAAAGTGACAGGTAACGTGCTTCTTGTCGTATTCATGTCTGCGAGGCAGTGGTTGACTTTTAGTGTTTCGCACCCAAAGGGTAAAAGTGCCCTATTACTAAGAATCTGCTGTCTATCTGTCTATCCGTCTTCTGTCTGACGGACAGACAGAGCCAGGCTGTATCTCATAAACCGTGATAGTTAGACATTACACAGTATTTCTGTTGCCGCTATAACAACAAATACTAAAGAACAGCATAAAAAATGTTTTAGTGGGGCTCCCATATAAAAGACATGATTAGTTGACCGTTTGTGAGCGAGCCCGACTCGCACTTGGCCGGTTTTTTTCGACGGTCGACTTGGTCGGTGAAATATGTCCGATTCACAATAACTAAAATGAATCATTACTGAAACTGATAATCCTTCAGGTAAACATTGATGTTCACCATGCTACAAAATATAACAAAATATTAAATATCTCGGATTTCAGCGTGTTGCAGTTCTCACCTTAAAACATTTACTTGCACCCAGAAAGTACCAACACAAACAAACCTGTGGTTAAATATAAACGTAATCTAGCACCCTTGCTGTTATCTAGTTAGTAGGTCGTTGGGACACATCTGCCGGCCGAAGTGTGGCTGCGTGTTGCCAAGAATGCGACGCGCAATGAGTAACAATTAAATCTACCGAACCACCGCTTTAATTTTATCTGACGATCTGCATCACTTAGTAGGTTCAGAAGAGCCTGTCGTCCAAACCAAAGCGGTACTGGATTTGTGTGGAATATTATTTAGTTAAGCATTAAAATTTATAAAAATTTAGTAACAAAAACAAATATTTCCAAGATATGTGAAGTCTCGCAAACCACCGTGGGATCGCGTGGTGGACTATGGCCTAATATCCTCTGCACAAAGGAGGCCTTTGCCCAGCAGTGGTACATATATAGGCTGTTACTTTACTTATGATTTCAGTGACACGATATTTAGAGTGCTTTGCCACTCACTATGTTAAAAGTTTAATTCGACACTTTGACCGTGTGTACAATTGATCAATATAGTTTGAATGTGTGTTTAATATTTACGAAGCAATTTTAATGATCCAATCATAGTCCAAATTATGGCCGTTTACTGGCGTTACTCCAGCAGATCTTTGAACGCTCTATAGCACTTAATGTGCTTGTAACTTATGGTTTGTTATCTAAATGAAAATTTGAACACTTTAGGCAGTACTTCTACAATTTTGTATTTTATGTCAATATTTAAAAAGACTATTGGACGAGTGGAAAACTTTCAGAGAATTTTTGTATGGTTTCGAATACTTTGCTGCATTGGTCTACTACTACAACTAGTCCTTAGATGGTCAGCAGGTTTAACTGTTTTATTTAAGTTTAAAATTTAATTCTTTATAGTAAAAAAAACAGTATGGCTTAGAATAAGTTCAAACCGAATGGAGTGACACCAACACTGACATGGAATTTTCGAGAAGTGGTGACACTCTTCTATTAACTATTTTTTTTTCTATTAACACAAAGAATATTAGTTGTACATGAGATCCCTAAGAAATAGGGTCTGTACAGCCCCAAATAGCCTCTCCTAGCACCGTGTAGTTTTTCTTCTGGCTCAGTGATAAGCGACCTCCATGCTCTATTTTTTTTCTTTTTGGCTTCTTTATGTATATAGTATTAACGTACTATTTGCAAAAACAATTTAACAGTACATCTCTATGCAAACATACGTATTACCTGTGATTTAAACATGTTATCAGATATTTATTTTAACTATTATCACGTGAATTCTAAATGCGGAAGCGCACGTTATTTTCACTGTACCGTTTGATCATTACATGAAAAAAGTCCTTGATTAATTTGAAGAAATATAGACTTATCGCGACCATTTAAAAAGTAATTAAAATTTACGGTGGTAGGGCCACGCAGCAGCCTCGGCTGTTGCACGAATGGGCAGGCCCGTCCGGGTAAGTACCACGACCTCACAGAAGACCGGCGTAAAGTGGAAGTATGACAAATACTTTCGCGTTTCGTCTGGTGAGTGAGGTAGCCGGAGCCCAATTTTCAAAAGGTTGTCAACGCATCTGTAACCCTCGAGTGTAGCAGATGTCCATGGGCGGCGGTATTCACTTAACATCAGGTGAACCGTCTGCTCGTTTGACAACTTTTCGCATAAAAAAAAAAAAAAAAAATCCTAACAAAGAAGGAACAATAGCAATCAACGTGGTAAAGAGTTTAGTCCGTTACTTCAATTAAGAAAAAACAATGGCAATCTATTGTCTGCATTATATCTTTGGTTTCTTTAAAAAAAAAAGGGACGTAGAAATGAACCAACATTAAATTTGTTGTCCCAATCAGATTCTTATTGATATCAAATGTCATTATATCAAGGTATTTATAGAAATGGTCATTCAATAATATCAAATAATTAATGGGACGCGCCAAGCACGTTATTTAAATATTCTTTCTCTGAAACAAAAAAAATCTAAGAAAATTATATTATACAAACAGAATTATATATTTTAGAAAGATGAAGGAACTCTTAAATGAAACTTAAATAAAGCGAAAAAAAAAATTTACTATGCCAATTCATAAAATTTCATATGCACTCATTTTTTTATTGATGCCAACCTACGTGTTTATTTAGAACTTGACCTATCAGCTTCCCGCCAAAACTCCCACGAGGCGATCGAATTGGAATAATGGTAGATTTTTTACAACCTTTTTTTATAGCTTCGAATTCTTAACTTTTACTAAAATTGGCAATAAACATGTTACAATCTAGATGTTTTAAATATTCTTCCCACCTATTTTGATTCGGTATTAAAATTATCCGTATTTTATCACTTTCCAAAAAGAAACGGAGGAGAACCTCTCCTACTTAACGTTTAAAGTGCAGATGTTGTTAACTTGAATATTTTCATAATATTCAAGTTAACATCTGTACTTAGTGCTTCAGTACTGTTTACAGTTTTGACTGATATTTTTTGAATAGTAAGACCCACATAAAGAGTTTGGTGTTTAAAACTATAATATACATACTTAAAATAGATTTTTTGCGATTTACTGTTTAAAGACTAAATCTCCTTTCAACCTCATTGGGAAGAAATTTCAATAATTGTCTTACCTGAACGAAATTGTAAAATCTATCCAAAAAAAAAATCTTTATTTCAATTTGGGGTTATTTCAAGGTCGTTTCCTAAATTTATTATTTATTAGATATTCTTGTCAAATTCTATACGTTTGTAAAATCAGAAATTTGCAATGGTAGTAGCAAGAACAGGGAACGAGTTGATGACTCCGTGGCGCAGTTGCCAAGGTATTGGCTTCGTCGTTCGTTTATTATTGGGTCGTGGGTTCGATTCCCACACGGGATAACCATTTATGTGACCCACGGATAGTTGTTTCGCATCTGGGTGTTTTGTCCGCGTGAAATTTGTGTTTGTAAAACGTCCCGAACACAGGATAATGTTATCCTACAGTAAGGGCAATGTTTTTATAAAAAATAAGTAAAAATAAGGGTTATTTACACACTAAGGTCTTTTCAATTAGCATCCTTGCTTTCATTACGTACCTTCGATCCATTTACTTCACAAATTTCGCTGTCTTTGACTATGCGTTTTGCATGTCCGTCAGTCTGTTTAAAGCTTCGTTAAGTGGGTTGTGTTTAATTACTAATTGCAGGGTACGTTTTATTCTCATTCATTCAATTTTATTGCGTGCCTTGCGAAGCGAACACAAAAGGCGGGCTAACGCCTGTAGGCATGTTCGCCAGTCGGCCGTCAAACTAGGGTGTTGAAATTTTTAAGACAGGTGCAAAAAAATTTAAACCATTTTCGGTAAAGCATATAAAAATCCACGCTTACAAATATATTATTTTTGGATGACTCTGTGGCTCAGTTCTTAGCCATTTTTTTCGGCGCCAGAGGTCGTAGATTCGATTCCCTCACGGGTCAAGTATTTGTGTGATCCACAGATAATTGTTCCGGAACTGCAACCTTCCTTGGGACCAAACACCCAGGGTGTTTGGTCTCAATAAAGGTTGACATGAAGCAGGTGGCTGGTCGTAAATAACTAAGCCAATACCATTTACCCCATGATTCAACTGCTGTGCCACCCCCACCTGAGGGTGCCAGCAAAGAAGAAATACATTTTTGGATATCCGATTTTTACCCGTAAATCTTAGACATATCTCCATCTCTTTCAGAAAACATCTGTTGGTGCTCTTCGCACTTATGTGCACTGCAGCGGCCTACTGGGGCCCGGACTTGCCCCCGGGGCCTTACTGCGGCAAGACTAAGGAATGCTGCGACAACAGGAGGGACTCCTGCGCGCATCAGATATTGAGTAAGTTGGAAATTAACGAATATTATATGTATAAGAAAATTATTCACCGCGTGGCGCACCGTGAAGAAGCTTATCTTTGTTTTATGTGACAATTTGGCAAACGAGCTGGCGATTCACCCGATATTAAGAGATGTTAAGAGATAACACCCATAGACATTTGCAACGTAGATGTAGTGTTGCAGATGCGTTGCCACTTTTTAATAAATTGGGCCCCGGCTACCGCAATCACCAGACGAAACGCAGAAGTCTAATACTTATACTTTACGCCGGTCTTCTGTGATGTCGTGTACTTACACGGACGGACCTGCCCATTCGTGCAACAGCGAACACTGTTGCGTGGCCCTACCACGGTGAAAGTATTTAAACAAAATATGAGTTCGCTGATTTGCTGGAGTGAGCTACGACTATACAGATAAGGCTAAGGTTAAGGCCTTCACTATATATTGGATTCAACAAAGGTTCTACTGAGGGATATACAAGTATACAACCTGCTCAGTATTTGATTGCATCCTATCTAGTAATTAGCAGTCATTTACTCAAATGTCAAACGCATAAAACAAAGGGCCTTTGTAAAGTACTTTCATCGAAGACAAAATGACGCCAAACACCTTACATTCTATTCTGGAGGTTTTCACCACAGGAAATCTATAGATTCAAGCATACATTCGTTTGAATACACGTTTACGAGCTTGTTAAAAAGATTCAAGTCATATTTAACATCAGTTTTTAATCAGCTATGTGTGATCGATAGGTATCCTTAGCGAGAGTGTTTTACTTTAGTGATCAGCGACGCTGGTCGTTGATTCGAACCCAACCGGCAAATAAATTTGTATAATGAGATCTTTTCTTGGGTTTACATCACTATGTTTTACCATGTTTTTTGAATTATTATCATTTCTATTTCCCCCAAAATGGGAATATTTTGCTTATTACCTTTTTCTCTAAATATATTCTGTAATGTTAAATATAATCCTACAAATACTTTCGTATCTATTTAATTGCCATCGGTCATTGTTATTCGAAGGAATGTTTGCAAATGTTGAAATAAGGAAATAAATCCGTGCAGACACGCTTTGCTACTGCGACGAGTTCTGCAACCGAACGAGAGGCCACGACGACTGCTGCCCGGACTACGAGCCGGTGTGTCTCGGCGTCTCCCCCGGGAACCTATTGCTGCCCTGCAAGCACAACGGGCAGAACTACCTGCCTGAACAGACACGCACCGAAGACTGCAACCTGTGGTGAGTAGAATATTCAAAGTGCGAACGATTACAATGTAGCTATGGTAGAACAACAGCGGCGTCTCCTGTGCTCCTCGTAAGAGACCAACTCCTCAGGGGAATTACCATGGCCTCATAGGAGACTGGCGTAAATATAAAAATTCCCTTTACACTTTTTCATCTGGTGATCTTTAAAAGTTGGAAACGCAAGTGCAAAATCACGATTATTATGGACTTCGTTGGGTGCCATTACTTACTTATAATAGCACGCTGATTTTCCATCCTCTTATAAAGATAGATTCCACAGAAACACATCCATTACTATCTTGATGGTTGGCAGTACACCGAAGAAAGTTGAAAACTTGCATGCAGTTTTTCGTCGTGCATGACGGCGAATTTAGTGAAAATTTAAACAAATGCGATATAATGTTTTACTTTAACTAGTTATTACAATACTTACATGGATAAAATATTTTATTATTGAAAGACATTGAAATTAACACAAAAGTACAAATTAATTACAGAGCAAAAGATACTTTCTTAATTTTAAAGGCGCAGGGGTTTAATAACTACAGCTAATTGATTTGATTTAAATTCAATAAGTGTTGATGTTTGAAATAAATTGATTAGAAAAGGAAGCCAAAAACAAGTTATGCTAAGTAAAAGCACCGACTTAACTCAGATCAAGGGCTTAGGCCGGCCCTGATCGAACACCCAACCGCTTTCCTTATATCCACAACAGCCGTTCTTAATGGTATACTAAAACGTTTAACCGTTACTTGTATAGCAAACGGCCTTAACAAACGCTAAGAACTAAATGCTTGTATATCATCACAGCCACGCATAAAATTAGTCGTAACACGCTCTGCATTAGACGCGTGTAATTACAAAGCTCCGTTATGAAACGCAGTCACATTAAAATACCATGCAGTGATTGATGAAGCACCCAGTCAGGGTCACCATGCTGACCAGTGTTAGACGCTCGGTTCTATTTATTACTTTATCGTAAATAGTTAAATAACACTTTGTCCGGATGTTTAAAACAATATTAAGTTCGATAAAATACATACACATATGTAACATGTTTTCAACGTCTGCCACGCAGCAGCTTCCACTGTTTCCCAAATGTTTAGGCTCGTCCAGAATTGTTACATATTTTCGTAAGTAAAATTTGTAAGATGTTTGGTCTACCAATATTTACTATTCGCGTAAATACAAGAAATCATTATTTCTGATGCAGTTTTTAACGAAGATTTCTTTGGCAATATAATAACCTCTTACTATTCTGTCATTTTCATCTTAGATTTAATAAAAATCAGCTCGAAATAAACATAACGTGCGACGTACAGTTGGTCACTATATCTATGACCTATATAATTTCTGCACTAGACTAACGAACGCGGAATGTCAAGGCCGCCATCTTTGTTATGACGTCATACCTATTCCACCCATTAGCACTAACAATTAAAAGCGCCGAAATCGAAACGATACTCTGATCGTTTAGTATGTCTCAAGGCTCTGAAACGTCATCGGTTATCTGTAAGACAATTTTGATTAGTACCATCAGTTTTAATTGTAGTTAAAGAGCAAGCACAAATGTTTAACGGTGGTAGGGCCACGCAGCAGCCTCGGCTGTTGCACGAATGGGCAGGCCCGTCCGGGTAAGTACCACGACCTCACAGAAGACCAGCGTAAAGTGGAAGCATGACAATTACTTTCGCGTTTCGTCTGGTGAATGAGGTAGCCGGAGCCCAGTTTTCAAAAGGTTGTCAACGCATCTGTAACCCTCGTCTGTGGCAGATGTCCATGGGCGGCGGTATTCACTTAACATCAGGTGAACCGTCTGCTCGTTTGACAACATTTCGCATAAAAAAAAAATGTAGAGTTGTGAATGGGGAAAAATCTTTCCGACTCAAACCTTAGATTACTGTGTTTTATACTTCTACATTTCGTTTGGTGAGTAAAGTAGCCGGGGCCCACTTTATTAAAAGGCGGCAACCCTACCACGCTACGGGTGTTACAAATGTCAATGGGCGGCGGTTGTCATTTAACATCAGGTGAATCGCCAGCTCGCTTGCCACCTTCTCACATAAAAAAAAAAACAATTCACCCCATTGGCATCCAACATGCTGGTGACGTCGGCCAACGATATTATGTAAAATTATACTCTTACATAATAACAAATTAAATTTCGTACAATTACCTCGTTGAAATCAAAATGATTATTTGAATACTACTCTTTCTATTTGTCTCTGTCTCCCTCCTAAACTAGTTTCTTGCGTCATTTAATGTGTTTAATCAAATTATTCTGTGACGACTTATGTATATCAATACATAAGAAAGAATAACAACCAAGAATTACTTTTGGATACTTTAACCTAATTTTATATTGCGTTTCTCAATGTATTAGCAAATAAAAATAAAACTATCTAGTACTTAGATGGCATCTACGATTTCCTTTTACACATTTGTTACTGACTGATAAGTTAAAAATAAATATATAAATAAAACACAAAAGATGCCTATATGTTTATTTCCAAATTTAAAATAGCCTTATGTTGTGTTTTTTTATTTATTTAGTTCCTTGTGATGAGTATAATCCGTGTGTAGCGGCTCGAATTTTAAACATTTTCGATTTCAATGAAGGCCTCATCGCCGCTCACGGTCGTCAGTCAAACCATGGTAATTTTCCCTGACAACTAACGCATAATGGCCAGGTAATTTATCACCGAAAAACATGTATGCCTCGTATGAATAATGCATTGGCAAATGTTTACACGTGTGTCCGATGAAATGAAAAATTATTTGCGACAATTGTGAAGAGAATTTTTTCGAAAACAACGTTGTCATAACGCCCGGGTTTTGTTTTTATTTTACGTATTTCATTGCCAGTATTTTATAATACAGGAGTTAATGCTAGTTATGACGATTTTAGTGGAATGTTATTTTGTATTTCTCACTAGAAACAATCTTTTGGTTAAGAATAAAATTCATTAAAATTTACTATAAAATTATATTACTTATTAATCTGATTACATAATTATAAGAAAAAAAATATTGTTTTATATAATCACATATACATTGTTTAAATTTAATAAAATGCCAAAGTATTAAAAAAGTTATAAAAAGAGTCGAAAAGGGGTTTTTTAACGCAAGAGGTTTAGCGGGTACATTCAACAGAATTTTATAGAGCTCGCACCGCAATTGGGTCATTGTAAAAAACCAAATTGACCATAATTGGTGGATACAAAAGTAAACAGCAGCGGCTTGACAGGTTCACGGGCGAAGTAATTCGGGCCTGATCCCGAACTAGACATCATTAATCTGTTTCATGTGGGAAAATAAAACTGTCTAAATTGACGTTCAATTTGGCGGGAAATTTGTTAGATTCATCCGCAAATTTCTCGATTGGTTTGAGCATTAACACATTTGTCTGGACACTGTCATGCATTTGGATACAACCAGATTTGCCGATGCGTTTTGTCATTACACGTTTCACACAGTTAAGTGGCCGTGAAACTGTTTAAAATATAATTTATTCCAACTTAGTAAAAAAATATGGAAACATAAGTGAATCATATGGATTTTTAAATTTGGAAGGCATTGCATCTTGTAGATAAACAAACACACACACTGAGTTTGTTTTTTTATCTACATATAACCACTCGTATGAATAACATTAGCCCAATGAATATCTCTAGTGTGTTTGTCATTGCTTAAAATAAAGTTACACATAAATAGCCTACAGTCAAACGAAATGTTTGCACTTCAAGGTGTTTCACCGAGTGATACAATGGTTATATTTAGTTGTGACCCAGGTGAGGTTATGTTCGATCCGCCATCAATCCGCTCTCTGGCGCCCGGCCATTGGCTAATGTCATAGTGCTGTGCCATAAACTATTCGAATTATGTCGATAAGTCATACTCGTAAATTATGGTTTACTTCGCAAAGCTTATTCGACGACCCAATTCGCGTAGTTGATAGTCAAATATCTCGTACGTAAGGTAGATCCGATCCTGACTATGTAAGGACTAACGGAACATAGTTTTTTTCTAGTGTCCCAGACATTTATATATCTTTAATGTGTATTTGTTAACAAAAGAATACTATCTTTGTAACTTTCATATACTCCGTGGCGCAGTTGCCTAGTTATGGGTTTAGGAGTTCGATACCCATACGGGACAACTATTTTTGCGACCTACAGATAATTATTTCGCATCTGGGTGTTTGTCCATGTGAAATTTATGTTTGTAAAACGTCCTTACAACGCAGGATAATGTTATCCTAAAGTTAGGGCAATGATTTTATAAAAATAAATAAATAAATTTTAGTACGTTTATCGGTTATCTAATACTTACCAACTTTACTTAGTTTAAGACTAGATTGCATAAAAATATGTCTCGAATTATAAATAATTATTATTTATTTACACGCAAAATTCTTAATTAGAACACTCAAGTCACAGCCGTGAACTACTTAAAGTGATGCATTCCACTCTTCCGTATTCAAGGTAGCTCTTTATCATTCAATTGTTAAATGTATTGTTTTCAAATTCCCCCGATATCCGTGAAGTTCTTACGCAAACGATTAAAGCGGTTCCATTTAGAACCGTTCGGCCTCTAGGCACGTGATGGGGATACTAAATGCCACCTCAAATACTAGTATACTCGAGTTCAATGCTACAAGATGCCCAATTTGAATAAGAATTTTGCAGAGAACCGTTGCAGTTTTTATATAAACATATCCTCCCTCAGAGGATACTGCGAGTTGTCGGTTCTGTTACGGTTAATAATATAAAATGTGTAGAAAATGAGAATTTGGTAAACGAGCAGGGGGGGACAGCCATGTAGATGGGCTTCGGTTACCTCGCGTCAGTCTGAGCCCGGTCACTTTACTTGATGATTAAGTTCCAACAGCAGATGTTGTTGTGACGATGTACAGGAGTTAAAATGTCATCACATAACTCTCATTACCAAACTGTAAACTAAAAGACGTCTAATGCCTACCTCCCAAAGCCCAG